GGGGGGGGGGGCATCTTCAGAGGAGTCCTCAGCTCACCTCTTTAAAGGTATGAACTGTGCCGCAGAATAGCCCAGGTGGCAGTATGATACCCTAGATGGAATTAAGGGTGGTTTAACTTTCTTTTTGCTTTTATTCTGTTTTTACACTGTAATATATTCTAAAATTTATTTGTGTATGGCAAAGTTTATACTTTTAATCAATTGAGAAAAAATAATTACTCAATATATGAAGTTAGGACTACTGTTATCTCTTTGGAGGAAGCAGTGAATTCTATCTCTACTTTACATCCTGCAGAAAAAACATTCTAGTGGGTTAAAGTATCAAATGAAATAATAAAATAACTAGAAGGTAACTCAGTATTTGATCTCAGGGAGGGAAAATCCTCAATAAACATAATGACTAAAGAAGAAAACAAAGATTTTGAATATCTAAACATTTGATGTGTTTGCATATGAAACAGTAGATAAAGAAAACTAAAAGGCAAGCACAAACCAGGAAAGATATTTCCAACACAAGTGGCAAATAACTACTACTCTTTCTATATAGATGGAAGAGATCAACATCTCATAAAGGAGGAAAGTGTCACTAAAGACAAGAAAAAACTTTCTAACTTCTCTTTTTGCTCCAAACTTATTTTCCCTTCACTTCATATCTCTTTTCTTAAAAAAAAAGTACAGTAATAGCTGACATTTTTAGAGCACTTCTTACATATGAAGCACTGTTTCAAGTGTTTCACATGAATCAACTTGCTGAATTCTCACCGGCCTATAAAGTAACAGTATTATTATCATCCCCATTTCACAGATGAGGTAACTGAGACATGGAGATTATGCAACCAAAGTGCAAAGTGGGGGTAGGGGCAGAGAGAGAGGGAGAGATTGAGAATCCCAAACAGCCTCCAAAATGTCAGCCCAGAGTCTGACGCAGGGCTTAAAGTCACAAACCGTGAGATCATGACCTGAGCTGAAATCAAGAGTCAGACGCTTACCTGACTGAGCCATCCAGGCTCCTAGCAAAGCCTAGCACTTAATCCCTGTTACACATATGCTTGTGAAAAGAAATGTGCATGTGTTTTAAGATAAAAATGCACAGTAGGGTTTGCAATGACAGTGAAGTCTCCCCTCTCTCCAGGACCTGGCTCCACACCACCCCGGGTGAGTTGTCTACCCTTGCCCACTTCCTCATCTCCCATTCATGATCCAGCTCATTGTGCTCTGGTTTCTGTTCGACTCCTTCCGCTGAAAACTGCTCTGGCAAAGAATGCCCGTGATCTCTTGGTTGCCAAACCCCGAGAGCACCTTTTGCCCTTTATCTTGATTGACCTCTCAACTGTATTTGGTGCTTTGGCTCACATGTTCCTTGAAACTCTCTTCTTTGATTTATCTGACACCAGTTCTTTCTGGCTTCTGTTCCTCATTCTCTGCCTCTATTTCTCCAGTTTTGTTCTGCTCAGCCCTTAAACATTTACATTTTGTTAGGTCTTGGTGATGGCATTTATTTCCCAGGATGGAATTATGCTAGATGCCCACCCCACCCCTCACCTCAGTTTTTCTCCTGAGCTCCAGGCTCATAGCATCTGTGGACATTTTCACCTTGATTTCCCAGAGGCACAGCAACTTGGGTATATCCCAAACCGAAGTGGCCATCTTCCCCACAAGCTTATCCCTCTTGTATTCCCTAATTCTGAGCCTGGCACCTCCAACCACCCCACTGCCTAAGCCAAAACCTAAATATCAATCTAACTTTCCCCTGTCCTTTCCTCACTGACCTTGGTTGTCAAGCCCTGTTACTTCCATGCTTTAGTATCTCAAATCTATTCATTTATGCTCATCCCCACAGCCATTGCTTCAGCTAAGGTCCTCATCATTTCTTTCTGGAATTATTGTAAATGTGCTGCTTCCGGTATCTTGATTACTTCATCTCGATTACACTTTAGCCAAAGAGACTTCTCAAAAAGTTTCACTACTCAGCTTAAAATCCTTCCTGTGATCCCTTTGCAATTGCTTTGCCTTTTGTTTGGGCTAGCCCTTCCAGAAACTATTTCTCTGACATTTGTCCTTCAAGAATCCATCAGCTAGGAAGCTTTAACCAACAGCTGCTGTCTGGGCTCCCATTCATCTGTACATCCATCCATACATACATCTATCCACCCAACATTTTTTTTAATTTTTTAAATCTTTATTTATTTTTGGGAGAGAGAGAGAGAGAGAGAGAGTGAGCAGGGGAAGGGCAGACAGAGAGGGAAACACAGAATCTGAAGCAGGCTCCAGGCTCTGAGATCTCAACATAGAGCCCGATGTGGAGCTTGAACCCATGAACCGTGAGATCATGACCTGAGCCAAAGTCGGACGCTTAACCGCCTGAGCCACCCAGGTGCCCCTCTACCCAACATTATTTACTGAGTATCTAGGTTCTAAGAACTGGGTCTGGTAACAAGACAGAGAATGTCTCTGTTCCTATGGAGCTGGGAACTGTATTGCAGAGCTGTGTTGTCTTAAAGGTAAGATATTTTGAAGGTAGATACTCTGTTGTATTCACTTCTGAATTTCCAGTACTTTGGACACACAGCCCTTCAATGAATGGAGGAAAAATTTTTAACCAACTGCCTAACCAACTGACTGAGTCTACCAGCTTAACATGCCTATCCAACAAAATAAACAAACAAATAAGAAAGGAAGGAAGTCTAGTTTGTTTGGACTTATTCTTAGTGACCCCCTGCTGACCTCTTAATAATCCCTAAGATCACTTTTTGTTGTTCCAAATGCTCATAAATCAGCAAGAGAGCTGACTGACCTTGCTTTGTGGCTTTGATTTTATACATCTCAAATTAGGTGTAGCAGAAAACCCACCCATGTCTTTGTTTACCCACCATTGTTAAAGAAAACATTTGTTTAACAAGGTGGTGGGTATTTCTAAGCTCAGAGAAGAAAATCAGAGGGCAGGGGTGCCTGGTGGCTCAGTTGGTTAAGCGTCCAACTCTTGATTTCAGCTCAGGTCATGGTTTATGAGTTCAAGCCCTGTATGGTTTGTGAGTTCAAGCCTCTTATCAGGCTCTGTGCTGACAGTGTGGAGCCCACTTGGGATTCTCTCT